TAGGTTGACAAACTGAAGTGATAAAAGGGAGAATGGAGGGGAAGAGATGAAGTGATAGAGGAAGAAAGGAGCAAATCACACAGAGCCTAACCTTTCCCTGAGGGTTCTGAACAAAGGGAAATTCAAGAGTGGTGTGGTCACATTTGCATTCTAGAAAGATCAGTCCTGCGGATGGCAGCTTTGAGGAAGAAATCATTGTAGATGTGTTTAGGAGACAATGTGAATGAAATTTCAGAAAACCAAAGGGGGATCCACACTACCATCTTAGATACGACAGTGTACACTGATGAGAAGTATCCACCAGTGAGGTTATTTTGGACATAGATTCAAGATTAGAACTTGGTGACAAATTTAGTGCAGAAGATGGTGCATGGTAAGGCCAAGGGAGGCATCAAGGAGAACACTTAGGTTTTGGTTTCACCAACCAGTTGGAAGAAAGAGAAGCCATGGAGAGGCTTAAAAATATTTTGGTGTGAATGATCAAAATAGCAATGTAGGATATATAAATTTTGAACTGACTATAGGATATCCAAATTACCAAGAAGGCACTTAGTATCTGGTCTAAAGATCATAAGAGAGATCTAGAAAAGAGATACATGTGACATACATTTTGGATATATATGTACGGATCATATATCATGTATATGTATATATCACTTATATAATGTGAATAAATGAGCTCATCTAAGGAAAATAAAAAGTGAGGCATGAATAGAACCCAGGGCCAATATTTGAGAAACTCCAAGTCTTTACACATTAGAGAAAGAAGATTCAATAAAGAGGATGGAGAGGATACAAGGATGAAGAAGCTATGAGGAGGAGTTGTAGGGGACCCAAGAAAAGAGGTGATATAGAAGGTACTCAACTGTGAAGAATTAGAGGCTACATGCTCTGAAAGACTCTCCAAGGGATTAATCAGCCTGAACTGGTGACCTAAGCAAGCACAAGTTCACTAGTAGTAGCAAAGGAGGGAGCTAGAATGTGAAGGTTTAGTCATAAATGGAAGATGGGAGAGCCAGCCATATATACAAACAGTTTTAAACACGTTTTATCTGTTACATTAAAGCATGCTTAAGATGCCACAGAAGCCCAGAATGAGCTAAGGAAGTTTTCCAGTAAGGCACCACATTCAAACTAAATCTTAAAAACATAGGAAGAATTTGCCCTGGCTGGTGTAGCTCAGTGGATGGAGCACAGGCCTGTGAAGCAAAGGGTTGCCAGTTCAATTCTCAGTCATGGCATATGCCTGGGTTGCAGGCCAGGTCTCCAGTAGGGGCCACATGAGAGGCAACCACACATTGATGTTTCTCTCCAACTCTTTCTCCTTTCCTTCCCCTCTCTCTAAAAATAAATAAATAAAACATTATAAAAATAGGAAGAATTTATTCATGTAAAAGCATAAAGAGGGGCATTCTGGTTAGACAAAACAGCATTACATATACTAAAAAAATAGCAACAATAAAAATAATTGCCATGGATAATATTTCTAAATGTTAGAAACTGTTCTAAAAGCTTTACAGGTATCAGTTCACTTAAACTGCAAAATCAACCTCTTCCTTCTACAACCACCATTGTCTCTTGGTTAGACTCTGACAACAGCCTAGCAGCTGGGTTTCCTGCTGCTGGACTTGCCTCCTGGGTCATTCTCACAGAGCAGTTGAAGTGACCTTTGAGAATGAACATCATGTCATGTCGTTCCTCCACCATAACTCTCCAGAGGCATTCCCTTTGATCAAAATACAAAGGCCCTTTATTAGCTAGGACTGCTTTAGCTTGCTGTCTGTGTTTCTATCATCCTGGATATCTCTCCAAAACGTCAAGCAAGTCTCAGAGCCTTTGAACTTTCTATTGTTTCTCTCTGCCTGGTGTGCTTGTTCCTGGATATTCACGTGGTTCAGATGTTACACTTCTTTCATGTCTCTGTTCAAACATCACCTGATCAGCAAGGCCTTCCCTGACCAATTCAATAATAACTGTCTTCCAGCACACTTGTCCTTTTTATCCATTTTCTCCATGATATTTATCATAATCTGATATACTTTAGAATTATTTTTATTGCCTGTCTTCCTCAACTAAAAGTCAATGGAAGCTCCATGAGGGGGAATACTATCATTTCTACTCACTGAGAGATCCCCAGAAATGAAGACAGTTATTGACATATGTGAGCATCTAGGAAGGTCTGAGATTTTACCCTACTTGAAAGCTACCAAGTGAGCCTTCCATGGTTAAATAGATACTGGGAAAAGACACAAATTCCTACATCAGAGACAAGAGACTTAAGTATTCAATAACAACAGTCAGAGTGTCACCATTTGTTCTACTATTCCAGGCCCCACTTCCACAGGGTGATGTGAAGAGGGCCCAGTGGTACCTGAACAAAAAGTGCAGTGTGTTACAAGAGTAGGGTACCAAGCTTTAAAAAAATCCCTAGTCTTTTTTTTTACTTTCTTTTTTTTATTTTAATTTTTATTTAGTTATTTTTCAAGTACCGTTTTCTGTTTATTTCTCCTATTCCAGCCCACCCCTCCCCCATGCACCTCACCTCCCTCCCATTTCTACCCCCCTTAGTTATTGTCCCTGTGTCCTTTATACTTGTCCCTCTAAATCCCTCCCATTTTTTCCCTTAAATTCCCTCCCCTCTCCCCTCTGGTAGCTGTCCCCCTGTTCTCTATTTCAGTGTATTTGTTTTTATTTTGCTTGCTTGTCTGTTTTGTTGTTTAGCTTCCTGTTAAAGGTGAGATCATATGGTATTTGTCTTTTAACCCCTGCCTTATTTCACTTAGCATAATGCTTAAAAACACACACATAGACCAATGGAATAGAACAGAGAGCCCAGAAATAAACCCAACTCTCTACAGTCAATTAATATTCAACGAAGGGGGCAGTAACATAAAATGGAGTAAAGATAGCCTCTTCAACAAATGGTGTTGGGAGAACTTGACAGCTACATGCAAAAAAATGAAACTTGAGCACCAACTTACACCATACACCAAAAAAAATTTAAGGTGGATAAAAGACTTAAATATAAGCCTTGAAACCATTAAAATCCTAGAGGAGAACATTGGCAGGAAAGTCTCAGATATTTCACACAGCAACATTTTTACCGATATGTCCCCTAGAGCAAGGAATATAAAGGAAAGAATAAACAAATGGGATCTCATCAAAATTAAAAGTTTCTGCATGGCTAAAGAAAACAGTATTAAATTAAAAAGACAATGAACAGAATGGGAAAACATATTTGCCAATGGTACCTCAGACAAAGGTTTAATCTCCAAAATATACAAAGAACTTACACAACTCCACTCTAAGAAGGCAACCAACCCAATTAAAAAATGGGAAAAGGAGGCCCTGGCTGGTGTAGCTCAGTGGATTGAGCACGGGCATGCGAACCAGACAATCGCAGTTCGAATCCCAGTCAGGGCACATACCAGGGTTGCAGGCCAGTTCCCTGCAGGCCAGTTCCCAGCAGGGGACGCACAAAAGGCAACCATACATTGATGTTTCTCTCCCTCTTTCCTTCCCTTCCCCTCTAAAGATAAATAAATAAAATTTTTTTTTAAAATGGTAAAAGGACGTGAACAGACACTTCCCCAATGAGGACATACAGAAGATCCAGAGACACATGAACAAATGCTCAATATTGCTAGCTATCTGAGAGATGCAAATTAAAACCACAATGAGATACCACTTTACACCAGTCAGGATGGCTATCATAAACAAAGCAAAAAACAACAAATGTTGGAGAAGTTGTGGGGGAAAAGGGGACCCTAGTTCACTGTTGGTGGGATTGCAGACTGGTACAATCATTATGGAAAACAGTATGGAATTTTCTCAGAAAAATAAAAATCATCCTGCCTTTTGATCCAGCAATTCCACTGCTAGGATTATATCCTAAGAACCCCAAAACATCAATTTCAAAGAACCTATGCACCACAATGTTCATAGCAGCACAATTTACAATAGCCAAGAGCTGAAGCAACCTAGGTGCCCGTCAGTAAATGAATGGATCAAAAAATTGTGGTACATATACACAATGGAATTCTATGCAGCAGAGAGAAAGAAAAAATCCCTAGTGTTTTTAAGAGTCTACCTAAGCTTTGCCCTCAAAGGAGATATTATCTTTATCACACTAAATACAAAGAGACTTCCCTTTTCTTCTAGAGGGAGACGCTATATTTCACTTTCCAAGGCCATTTGTTACACAAGCACTCTTGAGAAGATGGGCTGAAACACAGGAATTCAGCGCCCCTACTCGCAAGACACACAAAACATGAGGGACAATAAAGAACTGTCTCCCAATAACACCTGGCAGACACAATACATATCTCTGAATGGAAGGTCAACACTCTGAGTTAGGTGAGGTTTTCATTTTAGCTCTCAGATTGAGACACAACAAAAGTGAACTCCATCTCCAATATCACAGAGCTGGTGAGTGTCTCAGGCAAGTTCACACACACCTCCAGGAACTGAATCCTCCCAGTCTCTCATTTGTCCCTCTGTCAGCTACTTTAGGCTTTGTGAATGGGTGACAGAAAAGAGAGAAAGTATAAAAAAGGGAAAAGCTAAAGAAAAAGCAAGAAAGAACGAAGAGGTTTTTAAAAATATGCGTATCTGATCAGATATCCAGAAGTACAGAGCGCAAGGACCTTTGAGTCCCCTTAGAAAAGAAAACACCAGGGCTGAAGAAAAGAAAGGCCTTCCCAAAATAACAGAGCAGGCTAGCAAGGGAGCCAACTCATTAACCACCAGAACTCTTGTCCTGACAGAACCTTGGCCTTGCACCTCCCAAGCCCATGACATTCCTTCCTCCTCTCTTACACAGGTGACATCACCCAAACCTGGGGGCCAGGCTGCACTACAAAGTCAATCAATAACCAAGGAGGTCTGTGATGTGGGGCAGCAGGCGGAGCCAACCTGCCTATATAACCTTTCCAGTCCAAATGTTCCAAAGAGAAGTGCTAACTTCAGTGTGGTTTTCAGCTGAGCTCTGGACACAACACTTTAGCCATGAAGGTAACAGCCCTCTTTCTCCTCAGTGCCTTGGCGCTGCTGAGTTTATCTGGTAGGTGTCTTTGCATACTTTTCTGATTTGAATTAAACCTTTTCACCTGTTGCTTGACCAAGGACATTACCTTCTAGACTTAGACAGAGTCTACTCTTGAACAGAAATTTTGGTCCCGGTGAGATGAAATAAGATCTCAATAGGCAAGAATTATAGAAATGGGACTTTTAATGTAAAATGAGGAAAACAATTCTTAAACTTGCTTACAAAAGGAGACTTAAATGTAATTGCATGACTTAGTTTTGTGTCAGAGAACCTGGTTACCTGGTTGCTGCGAGTTGTAACTATTTTAGCAGCTAACTGTGAACTTCACTGAAAAACTGAGGTAAAGACACTTACACTTCTTATATCACTAACAGTGAGGTCAAAGGCCTTAGTAACTGCTTGTGGGGCTGTCAGTGAGCACTCGGAAGGTGTTTGCTCATTTCGAGCAGTAAACACATCATTTATGTTTTTGAGGAAATGGGTTGACTTTTCTGAAAAAATCAAATTGGGATACTTTGGTCATCATCAAATTTTTGCTTGGTTTTTCGAGGTTTCAGCAGGCAGAATGTGAGGGGACACCAATGCAATGTCCCAGAGAGAAAACAGGAAGGAGTGGGGAGTGGAAAGGCCAGTGGAGAAGCCACAGTCTTAAATGGAAGCAGAGAATTCTGAAGAGAATAGATCTAGCTTCTCCCACCCAGGACCCAACTTCACATGCCTGATTTGTGTTTTCTAGGTAACGCTAGGGCTGAAGTTCCAGGAACACAGGTAAAGACAATTTTGTAATCTCTTATTTCTCAGGCTAGAACTGTTTGCTCTGACCAAAGCGCAGTCCAGTGGTTACACTTCAGTTTAGCCTAAGGTGCAGATGAGGAGCATGAATTCCTCATTTTGCTATAAAGTCAAAGAATGGGAAATGATTCTGTTTAATCCCACTTTTAGGCTAAATGTAACAGTGAAGTGAATGGGTGTACCAGGATCTATAACCCCGTCTGTGGGACTGATGGATACACTTACCCCAATGAATGCGAGTTATGTAGGGAAAACAAGTGAGTAGAGACTTAAATTTGTTTCAAAATACATTTTAAGCTTGTTGTCTTCAAATGTTCATATATCTTATCCCTTGAAGCCCCCAATCAATATGCCAATATCATCCATCTTACTACAAGAGAAATAAGACATCTTGTTTTCCCAAAAATAATTTTCAATCTTTTTTCTTCTAATTATATATCTCATATGATTATATAGAGAGGAGTGTGTGTTGACAGAAAATAATATTTAAGCATTGTGCAAGGCACTTAATATTCACTAAGAGCTGATGAAGTAAATAACACCAAGCCCGTTATTCAGATGAAGGAACTGAAACTCAATTACTCCATGTAACTTGCTCAAGGTCACCTGGCAGCAAGTGGCAGACCTGGGACCTAATCCTTGCTCTTTCCACTAGGCTTTAAAGTCAAGTACCCGACTAAGGATCTGCAAGATGCAGAAGAAAATCCAGCATGTTCTGTCTCTCAATTTGCTTATACTCAACGCTAACACAGTGTTGTCAATGGAAGTATGAGCATAGTGCTCTGACAGGAGAAAATTCAAAACAAATAATTATGTCTGCTAAAACTTGTAAGTTTGAAGGCTTTATGCCATAAAGAAGGAGAGAGATAAGAAGGAAAAATGAACAAAAGAAAGACAGGAACTAATAACATGGTGCAACATAAAATGAGTTAAGGGCAATAAAACAGAAGGAGGGAAAGTATTTGAATAGTTATCTCACAAATTTAAAAAAAAATCCTTGTATGATAAGAAAAAAGCCCATGATTTTATAGTAAGTAGAACAGTGGATAGCCTGGATTTTTAAAAAAGCTCATATACCTAAAACACCCTTAAATTTAAAATGCCATTCTGGGTGATAATCATGATCATGTTTACTAAAACCTCACATATGGAAATATAAATTATATATACATTGGGTGACCAAAATCTACTTTTATAGCACTTTTATTCATGGACATGTCAGCCAGCCTCAAGGAAACTCATTTTCTGAAGTGACAATGGATTGGTGGTAAGAACCAGGATCGGCACTCAGAGAAAGATTTGCCACAGATTTTCTGTGTCACTCAGCTGCTGAGCAGTTAACATGTGCCAAGCCTTGCACCAGTCTCCTCAGCTTTTCTTGTGCTTGTGACTCAGAGGAAATAGGTCACAGGCACAAATAAAGTCACGTCTTGCCACGTGTGACAAATGCCACCAAGTGAGCTGTGAGTAAACTGCTATGGGAGTGGAGAAAAGATAGGGATTTCTTCTTACTGAAAGAGTCAAGAAAGGATTTATGAAAAGTATGTTATTTAAACAGGGCTATGAATTTTGGCAGCATGATGAAAGTATTCCAGGTTAAATGATGGTATAAAATGATCAAAGCAAAAGAGATTCCATAGGTGGCCCAGAAAACCCAGGTATTCTGGAACTGATCTGGTATTAAGACTGATTAAGGTTCACATGACTACATACATTTCCATTATTCCACTGTACAAATTCCCTATCATTACATGGACCCTCTCTTGGTCTGCTTTAACCTTCCAGAAAGCTCTTAGTGTTTAACAAAGATTCTGGAAATAGGTCCTCAGGGAGACATACTTAATATCCTAAAGTTTTAGTCCCCAGGCATTAGGTGTTGGCTTTGTGGTGAATTTATTTCCACAATGAAGACTTGTAAGAGGAAGTTGAAACCACCTGTTAATTTTCTCATGACCCATGTTGTTGACATTGAGGTGAAACAACATATTTCCATCCAAGGGGAGGAGAAAGCAATAAAATGGCCTTGAGACTTGAGAAATTTCCAAGCGCCAAGACCAAAAAGCCCAATATTTAGTGGAACACATTGGGAAAACATGAGCACAGAGCTGGGACACCCACCCTACCCCTTAGCCTTTAAAACCTACCTGTTGTGCTTGTTCCCTCTATTCTTTAACAAAATATACGTAAATATGGGAGGAATATTTGATTGTCAGAAAATGTAACTTCTCTTCCTGTATTTTTCCAGGTAAAAAAACAGTCTACAGAGAAAGTGTGGCTTTCCCAAATGCAACATCTTTTCCAACGTACTATATTGCCTTTCTCTCCCTATTGCCCCTGAAAAGCACCAGACAAATGCATTGCATACTTAACAACTTAACACCTAGTTGTTGGGTTTTGTGATGGGTAGAAAACCAGGGGCTTTTATCTCCTTGGTGGTTATGTGCTTGACAGATATACTCAGTAAGGACCTTTTTACTATGTCTTCTATGTCTTTGTGGGGACTGTGTACTGACAAGTTCTTTTCAGTGCCCTCCAGTAGAACTTTCTACAATGGCAGCAATGCTCTCCATCTGGGCTACCTTGTTTCATAATTATTAACCACTAGCCATGCCACTGGTGCTTAAAACATGCATAATACAACCAAGAAACTGAATTTTAATATCAGTTAGCTTTAACTGATTAAATTTAAATAGCTCTATCTGGATTGTGTCTACTATATTGGACAGCTAGAGGAAAGAAGTGAACTTGAGTGCTCCGTTTAGATGTTTGTGCTTGTACATGTTAACTCAGAAAGAAGTACTATGAGTGGTCAATAATTATGAAACAAGAAAGCATCAAACCCCTTGAAACAAAAAATCAGCAAGGTTCAGATAAATACATGCATAAAAATATAGAAAAATCCAATGCCCTCAAGCAATAGAGAAATGAAAGAAATTTTATAAGAGTATATTCAAGGAAAGGCTGGATAGAAAAATGAGAGATTTGGGAACAATCTCACAAGGAGCAATTAAAGGACTTAGAAATATTTAGCTTAGAGAAGAGGAAACTGGTTTCTGAAAGGTGGTGGGGGGCAGAAAAATTGTATCTGCAGGTGAGCATGCTTAGAGCTGGCAGGCATCACACAGAATAGAGAGATGACCTCCTTTCGTGAGATCTCACAAATATGAATCCCCAGACTTCTAAGGGAAAAGATCAGTTAGTCAGAAGGGCCTGCAGCAGCCCAGGCAGCAACCTGGAAACATGGTGGTTAGAACAATGACTTCAGGAGCAACAGATACAACAATGGATTAGAGATTAATTTCAGAGGTTGAGTGTAATGCCCCAGTGATCTGTAAAGACAGAACTTTTTCCTTTCTGTTATATCCCTAGTGTATGTAATAGTCAATCAATATACGATGAATAAATGAGTAAGTTAATGAACATGTGAATGAAAGGAATAGAAATGGGAATAAATCTCAAATACTTCCAGGTAGCTCAGTTGGTTAGAGCTTCATGTTATCCTGATACACCATGTTTGTGGGTTCAATCTCTGGTCAGGGCACATACAAGCAACCAATGAATATATAAATAAGTAGTACAACAAATTGATGTGTCTGTCTCTCTTTCTCTATTTCTCCTTCCCTCTTTCCTTTCTCTCTTTCTAAAATCAATTAATTAAAAATATTTTAAATAAAGTTAAACTTTTTTCATTGTTTTTCTCCCATAGTTACATTTTTTGTCAGCGGTTTAAGCTAATTTTTTTCCAATCTCTTCCACAGGAGACGTGAGTTCCCTGTCCTCATTAAAAAATATGGACCTTGCTGAGAAGCAAGGTGGTGAAATCCTGTAAGGCCACCAAAATGTCCGGCTAGCCTAATTGTTGAATAAAATGCATCAAAATACTTCCTGCATTTCCCAAATGCTTTATTTTCAAGGGCATGTTTGATTACAGTGGGGACTGAGGGCTGAGTTTATAAAATCCAGCAATCCTGTACTTTCAGACAGGGTTTCCTTCACAGTGTTTTTTCCTTTCCCACCTTCCTCACATTCTGAGGACTCTGTCTCAGGACATGTGACTGCAAATATTAAGTGACAGGACACAGCCAATCATCAATACATTTAGTATCAGACTAGCATTTTCAGGAACAGTTAGAAAAATAGTTCAGAAACATATTACCCATCACTTTTCACTACTGAAATGATTCCTTTAGGTTTTGGGAGGATTTAATTGAGCATCTATTGTGCCTGCCACGGGTCTAGGTACACATAAGTAAGATTTCAAAGAGCTATCTGGTAAAGAACAATTTAGTCTTAAGAGTCCTTCCATCTTGGAGTGTAGATTTCAGGTGAGACATGATTTTCTCAAAGAGGCTCTGAATTATTGAGGAAACCAAAAAAAGATACATTTTCTCAACTACACTGTGGAGCAGCCTCTGTGTTCAGCCTTAATTCCTCTTCAGCAGAGGTAATTAATTTCCCATCAGTGACTGAGTTGAGGAGCAGTGATATGCAGCTCTCCATTTTCCCTGTTACCTGAGGTTTGGATGGAGGACTTCAAAGAGCTTGACTTAAGAGACACAGCTCATAGGGCCTGAGGGGTTTGTGCTAAGATCACCAGAGGGAAAACAAAAACCTGATTCTGAGTTAATTTGAGGAATAGTGTCTTTTACCCCCAAACGATCCCCAAGAGGTGATCTGGCAAGGAAGGGACTGTGGGGATGACTTTACCCTCAAGTCCCCCTGTCCGCCATGGATGAAAGTAAACACTACAAAGACATGATCTGCTTTGGGAAGAGAGGTGGCCAGTTTCTCAGAGGAAAAAGGCCAGGAGCCCCTTCCTCCAGGGACATTTATTGGGTTGTAATACACAGGAATACAGGGAGGCAAGGATCAAACAGTAGATAACATTTCGAAGAAATCTGAGGGCTTAGTCTGAGTCAGAGTCTGTCAGGAAGGGGGTTTGCAGAAACTTTGGGAGACATACTCATTTCCTGCTCAGACCCTTAACATATGAATGAAAGTACTCTTAGCAGGTTTCACAGGATCTTGTAGGAATTCTTTCTTATGTCAGATCCCTGGATCCACTCTAGCAAGGCAAGGAGCTACACCCTTCCCCACCAGGTTTTCAGGCTTAAGTGGATTAGAGCCAAGAAGTGCTTCTCCCAGAGGACATGGGGACTCGGGCTATGTCACATAGCTGGGGGCAAGGGTCCATTGCTCCCTCTTTGTTGCAGCCCCCAAGTCCTTCCATGAAGGCCTCCCAAGTGATCGAGTCTGGCTTAGGTTGACCCTCTCTTTGTGAGGAGTCTTACCCCTCATTGACTTCCAATCATGCTTTGGGGGCAGGGAGAGGAAACTGAGGCAGCGTTTGCTACCCGAGACAAGCTCTGTCTCCTGTGGCACGAATTCCGGAGATTGCTCACTCATCCTTAGCCATGGGGGGTATTTACAATTCCTGAAACCAGGCAGAGTGGTTCCTAACAAGGGACCACAGACCATACTAACTGACTGTGAGGATGGTGTGTATTCACATGTGAGCCACAATAACCCTGTGAGGCTACCTTCATCTTCTGAGCACACTTAGGAAAATTAAGTATTGACTAATACCACCAGCAAGTAAGATGGAAGAGTTATGCTTCCAAGCTGACTCCAAATCCAATGCTTCTCCATCTAAACCACAATCACCTCTGGTAGACTACTCCTTTTCTATTTCTTCTGTAGGAACTTTAGGTAAGATCCTCATATAAAAAGGCCTATATGTTTATATTCAGAGGCTGCAAATAAGGTACAAATAAAGAGTCACATCCAGAAGAAGAAAGTACCAATAATTACTGAAAACAAAAAGGAAAAGCAACTTAAATTCCTGAGCTCATATAGAAAACTAACCTAGAATGGAGAAGGGGACAGAGGGTTAAAACAGCCTGAGATGCATCAGGTCGCCTGATATATAGAGGGGAATAGATGATCCATCAGACAAGACATAGCCAGTCAAAATCTGCCCCACACCTGCAAAAGACTGACACGAAAGTTTGAGGCTAATTTCTTGTGATATTCAGAATACACGTCTTGAGGTTTATATCTGACCACTAGGGGATGCTGTGTTCTGTAAAGTGATTCGACCAAACAAGCCCCAAACAGTTCACCAGACAGTATGCTAACAGATATTATGTATGTAAGATGGCTTCCAGCATCTTGTCCTTGACACTAGAGGACACTTGAAGAGCACCCCTAATATTATGAAACTTTGCCATGGTAAGCAGAATTTGAATCACTGAGTGCTAGAAAGAGTCATGTCTAACTGGACCATTTCACAGGTCTGGAGATAAAAGGGTTGGAAGTTACAGGCAGAAACAATACATAAGCCCAGATTACCTTGCCTGCTTCTAATGGTTCTGCACACACTCTCTCTCTTCTGTTAAAAGATAAACTGAGGCAACTCACATTTCTGCCTGGTCATATTCTTGGGACTCCCAACCTTACTCTTGCCCAGCCAAGTTCTCAGGATACAAAGAGGAAGGAAATAACTATCCTTGAAAGAGAAAGCTCTTAAAGCAAAGTCACAATTCAAAGACCTAATTCTTACTTTTTTTTTACCCAACAATCTGAATTTGGAAAAGAAGGAACAAGGTGAAATTTTACCTTCCTGTCTCAACCAGATACCACAACTACAGACAGAGATAGATGCACTGCCTTTGGTCAGAACTGTGACTCTTCCCAAGTTTGCTAGGTCCCCCAGGATCCTGTCTGCAGGCTCTGGAGTGAGACCCTAGTGGGTCTCACCTAAGTTACCAGAAAGTGTAGAGAAGGAAAAACAATTTTCCCTGTACCCTTTACGGTGAGAGCTTGGCTGCAAGGTGCCTTGTTCTCTTAGGTACCTCATACCTGGATAAACTCACCTAGATTGAAAGTTCTCCACCATGGCCACTGCAATTCAAGGTTATCTTTGATAAGCATAACCTGCTTGTTCAGCCTTTAAACAAAATTTATTTACCCAAGGCCTCAAACTGGACCCAGTCCAGCTTACATTGGGCCCAGTCTGACCCTGGAACCACTCTGGTCTCTAAGTTGGACTGGGTCCAACTACTGCCAGTTTGGGGACCCAATCTGGAAAAATAAATGGTCAAATATATTCTGGAATCTTATAAAGCAAAAGCTGTGAAGCTAGAATCCAATAGAGACTTGGAAGTTCTAGAGGCAGTGAGAAGCCAGCAAGCTCATGGGGCTTGTGGGGTACCCATGTCTGGCCGCCCGCCCGTTCACCATGGGAGCCTTCAGTTCTGTCTTCTATCACCAACACTGACTGTTAAATGAAGAACTTGAGGCATATTAAAATGTTTAAGAGTTTACTTGAGCAAAAATTGGTTTGAATAGTCAAGCAGCCAATCTAGCAGATAGAAAGGAGCCACATGGAGCTATAAAATACGACAGGCTTTCCCCCCGCCCGAAAAGGAGTGGGAACGAGGAAGTTAAACTCGACTTGGTCATTACAAGGTTCCTGTCCTTTAGGGGATGGCAGGCATCTATCAGGCAGATCACGGAACTAGTGCTGATCAGGTGACTCCTGATGGATGGGTGGAATATTCCATTCCTGAAAGAGCCAAAACTGAAATTGTCTTGGTTTGGAAATGGGAGGCTTAGCATAGTGACTCCATTTTAGGCCTGTTGTCTTATTTTTAATAGACCCATATTTCTGGTATAAATTTTTAAAAGAGATATTTGCAAACTGGAAATTGTTTAGAGGAGAGAGGCTACAAAGATGGAAACTTTGTCCTATGATAACTGGTTGAAAGAAGTAGAAAAATTTGATCTGATAAGAGGAAAACTCTTAGAAATCTGGTGGGGTTTTTTCAACCTATTTGAGAAAGAACGTTAACACCATAAAAACAGAAACTTGGTCCTTTATTTTTAAGACTATATTACAGGCTTGAAGACAGCATCTAACATTTGGAGGTGCTCAATTAATATTCTTCTTGTTACATAAATGAATAGAGAAGAGAAATGAACATGTTCTGGTTGGCCCCATAGGGTGGAATTTAGACTACTTGGGTAGGGATTAAAGGGAAACTGGTTTGGACTCAGTAGAAAAGCACACAATATAACAATGAAGATTAAATCTCTGATTTAGGGGTGCCTGGGCTGGAATGTGGCTTTCCCACCATCTACCATGTGTCCTGGGAGAAGTCAGAGAATTTCTCAAAGTCTGTTTCCTCACATCTAATATGAAGTTAATAATAACAAGTCCCTCATAGAGTAATCAGTACAATACCTGCCATACCAGTAATTACTCAACAAGTATTAGCTATTATTATTGTTTTGTTACTGATATTATTCATCTCATTAACCCTGAGCTCACTAACAGGTCTCCTGGTACCCGAACATTTCCCTGATAGGAGGAGGTTTGCTTCCTCAGGTAACAATTCATTGCATGACCTCATTGTCAGAGATTCTATGAAAGAGATTCCTCAATGGGTAGAAGATGGGACAAAATTCCTCTGCCTTTAACTGTAAAACAAATTCCAGAATTGTAAACCACATCCCCAAAGTAGCAATTCAGGGGTTTTGAGGACTGTGAAAGGTTTTGTGGCCCTGGTAGAGGATAGATAGCGTAAGAAGCCCACTTTCCACTGTTAGGGCCCCTGGGTAAAGACAAGGACCACAAAACTGCAGCTAACCTACAAGAGGGCTTGCACACAGGGACAACAGATCTCTGTACAGTGTCCTTTACTTGTTTCAGAGTATTTGAAATATAAAACTACTGGAAGAAAATAGTATACCAAAAATGCTTTGCCCCATTGGAGAAGTAAACTTGTTTAAAATTAAATATTTTTAAGAAATTAACTATACTGAGCCTCCTGAGAAATAGAAAC